ATATTTTCATAACATGTATTTTTGCACATTCCACTTTCATCTTTTTTTGTCCCATTCATTTTATTTCTAAACATTCACTTTTCATTCTAGATCAATGAAACGCGTCGTTTTTTCTCTGGCTGCATCGACAATGTTGTCATTAACCAGGAACCTTTGAATCTATGGAAACCAGCTAAGGTTGTTGGAAACAGATACGCATGCTCCAAATGGTAATCACGTAACTTATGACAATAACGTCAATCTCGTCCCCAGTGCTCTATTCCTCTTAACGCCTGCATGAAACAGGGATCAATTAATTCACTAGGCATGTGTATTACGGGAAATGGCACTGGAAACGTAAAGATCATTAATAGTATAAGGGTATAGATTATTAGCTTTGACCGATATTTGTTTTGTTTCTCTCAGTTTGGAATCCGCCTCCATTCCACGATTCTATGACTTCACATCCGGTACCAGTTTCTTTGGCAACCCAAATACTCATGTCATTCAAGGCATGGGAACCTTTAACATCTCTGGCAAGTCTCAGATGATTTTACAGTTCAGAACATTCCAGGAAAATGCTTCGATTGTGAACGTCGAAGGTGATAATGTAAGTACATTTTTTTGGTTTTTTCATTTTTCGTCCTTTTTTCCTTTCCTTTCCCTTTTTCTTTCTATTTATTCTCCTTCCCTTCTTTCGTTCTATGTTTCTTCTGTCATAATTCCTCTCATCTATGCATCTTTTTAAACACCTTTTTTTTACTTTCTACTCTCTTCTGCCTTTCGWCCACGTAAACGTCTTCACCTTACTTACCCTACTCCTCTAACAAATGCGTTATTAATTCTTCCAGGCCTACATTTATGGCGTCTTCGTTGAGCTTGGTCAAGTAGTTTTCTATTTTCTCAATGGCTCAGACACTAACAGCCTGCGGTCCGACAGAAACTCATCCTACAATGACGGCCGCTGGTACGAGGTGCATGTGACTCGCGGGCTTGTGAATTCGTCACTGGTAATAACAGACGTTGTCTCAGGAGAAAACCACACTACAAAWTTGCAACTCAAATCGCCAGTCACACTCTCAGCTGGCCGTAGACTAGTGTTTGGTGGAAAGAACCCAACAAGGTGARAATGAAAGAGAGTCTCTGCTTTACATTGAATATGTTTTCATTTTTTCTGATGCACTTTTTCTGATGTTAATTTTTCTAGTAACTTCAAAGCTCCAAGTAWTAAGCAGTTCGCAGGGGGTCTCCGTAACCTGAGCCTATCCACAAACAGTGGGGAAATGGTACCTAGAATGCTGAATGACAACTCTTCACTAGAAGGATCAAGTCAAGTGGACTTTTGTGGAGTTCTACAAACTGTAAGTCTAAGCGTGCACTTATATGGCCGAGCTGGCTTGGAACACATCTTTAGAGCCAAGTCTTYCTCGGTCATATACATTGCAAAGGTATCCCAACTGACATTGTTTTAYTTGTTACTGTTTCAAGGTTGAGCCGTGTATTCGTTTCCGTGGCAATAGCCTTGCTGCCATGGAKACGGGAATCAGAAACATGACCAAGTTGTCATTCAAATTCAAGACTTTGAACCCCAGTGGCATGCTGGTTTATGGATTTGATACTTCTGTGGTAAGTACCACGTAGAAATCTGCAATGTTGTCAGTAGTCTAGGATCATTTGCAGCTTGTCCTGTCAGAATCGCACATGTGTTGTGTATACTATCTCGGGACTGAGCTATAGGTTACTGTCTGCCATGAAGAATTATTTGACGGGGATAATTCTGTCACTCACTCACTCACTCACTTTCCTGTAAACTGCCCTTTCGTTAGCATTGTCCATAATCTCATAATTGGGATTTTTATTTTATTACAGAATTACTACTTCTATMTTGCACTATTCCATGGCAACTTGTACCTAGTGGCGACCAACACACCCAAGACTGCAGAGCCAAGTTTTACCAAAGGAGAAACACTCAACCGAGGAGATTATCACACTKTGACCATTGAAGTGACAGAAACTCGGTTGGTATATCTATCAGACAGTAAAGCTATGACGTTCCTCTGATACTAATGATTATGCACAAGTCAAYTGAAACTCTGGCCTCGCCTCGCGGATAGGGCTAGGGGTTCAAAACTGTCACTAATATTTGAAAGAAAATTCCTCGTTAATTTCCATACAGTTCATTCTCTTTTCCTATATATTTCAGTGATTGTTTCATTGCGATTTATTTTCAGTCTTGTTGTGAATCTGGATACCCGCTCAACACCGATATTTAACGTCCCAACATCAGGACCTATACGACTTAACGGGACGTTATACGTTGGGGCTCTACCATCACCAATGAATGYCCCCTTTGACGTACCTGTAATTGAGCCCTTCGTTGGAGGAATGAGGGACATCAAAATCAACGACAGGTAAATTCTGGATTTTAATTGGATCGCATTTAATCACGTCACAGACTCAGTTTAGCTCGTGATTGGTTAAATCAGTGAGACGTCAATTTCATAGTTTGCTTTGTGCGGATTGGTGGATTTATTTGTATGTCTGATCTGATTGGTTAAGCCTCCTTTATCCATTGCGCATGCTCTTGTTTTCTGGTTTTTCTTTCTAATAAAATGTCTTCATTGATTTTGCTAATATTTTTTAATCTTACGTTCACTGCTAGGACACAAGATGTATTCTCCGGGACCGCCAACCAAGTTTCCCTSGCGGGATGCACCCCAGAAATTAATRTYATTCCTACCGCTAAACCAACAATTCCCCCACCCACCCAACCCCCACCAACTTGTGGTGATCGGTATCCTGCTCTTCAACTGTCGACGGCTAAKGATGAGATCAGACTGGGACCAGGAAATATGTACATTGGATTYSAYYTACCTCGTGAAATCTTSRAWTACATGAAAACACAGTAAGTTAAATGGTCTTTTCCTGTTTCCTTATTTCGTTGTTTCGTTGTTTTCCGACGCCATAGGAGCAGCCATTGTGATCTCAGTCGTTTCTTTACCTTAATTTACTGTCTACTACCCCCCTCGGGACACCCCCCCACCACCCCACCCCTATGTTCTGTCATCCGTCATTGTTCATCACATTAACTCTATTACTATTTTCATTAAAAGGCATGTCATTGAGATCAGTTTCCGATCACTCTCGCCAAACGGCGTACTTCTATACGCCACTGATAGCATGCAGTCTCCTACCCAATTCATGGCGGTTGAATTGGTCAACGGTCGCTTGGTGTTCAAGTTCAATACTGGCAGTGGTCTTGTGCGTATTCMAAGTCTATTTAACACTTATGGTATTGGAGGTGAATGGTACAAGGTATGCACGATTATCACTCTTCTTTGCTTTTCTCCTCGATTGACATTTGTAAATATTTGTTTTTTAGGCAACGTTTTTTAGGATCAATCAGTTTGGAGGTCTACTTGTTTCAAAGACGAAAGATTATAACAATAACAACAGGAATGGCAGCAAACCGCTCATTCTTAACTCACCTTTGTACTATGGGGGGGTCCCCAAGGGAATGAATACAACAAAATTAGAGGTGAGTGGATGAACGAAGATGAATTTGGTGACTACAAACTTGGCAATGCATTCTGTAATTAAATATACTTCATAAAGATAATATACTTACAATATGTTTTGGTTTYATTTTAGGCGATAGATAAGAATGGAAAAGCCATTAGTTTCTATGGTTGTCTAGGGACACTAGTTATCAGCTCTCAGAATAAAACACAGATTAAAAACCTCAATCCAAGGTTGGTCACGTGATCGTTACTTGCTCTTCTTGCCAATGGTGTTATATATATTGACTATCTATTGTATATTTCCAGGAAAGACTTCAATCCAGACGATAGCTCAAAAGGTAACGCGTCTTGTTACAAGAATGTTGGAGTACAAGCATCTTTCAACGGTCGATCGTATATCAAACTATGTAAGTATTTCCTTGTGAATAACGTTATGGTCGATGTGAAGTATATTCCCTAATAATTCGTATTTTATCAGATGAAAGCTACGCTTTTTCAAATCGATTGGACTTGACGTTRAGCTTCCGYACGTACATACGWACTGGTCTGTTAGTTGTTTGGACAAATAAGACTGGMAATGGCGCCATTACWCTTGAACAGCTTCAAGGACAGGTAAGAARATTAGAAAGTAGTTGTTTTCTTTTTGCTGTTGCAGTTGTCCTGCACTTTTTGTSGGCTTATTGTCCTGCTTCTRTGCTTACTTACCTTTTGAAAACTATGCTTAACAATTATCGTATTCTTTTCTAGATTGTATTAACTCTCACATCTGCGACTAACCAAACATCACTACGATGGACAGACCCTGACATCCCTAACAATGGACAGTACAATGCGTCATACAAGCTGTGCGATAATAAGTTCCACCAAATCCGCCTTCAACGAGAAGGCTCATCGGTCATCATATCTGTGGACAAACATCAACCTAAATCATTCACTATTGAAGATGGGTTCTATCTCGATGGAGACTTGTATATAGGTGGAGTTCCAGGTAAGAACAATTGTTCATCGTCCTTTGTGTTC